CTTGTCTCAAAATAAATTATGAAAAAGCTCTAAGATGAACCATTGCAAGTATCTTAACGAAATTAACCCTCGCCCCTTGTAGCATCAGTTTTGACCCACAGCTGGTTAATAATGTGCCGGGGCTTCCACCATATCTATGTGTGCATCTTATATAGAAAGGAACTGCGACAATCTTAGGTGCTTATGAATCCCCCTATAGTTCTTCTTTGAAAAAATCAATTCATTGTAATTTCATACCATTTCTTGAGGAAGTCGAAAGTATTTTAAAGATAGTTTTCTTTCTGGAAAGTCTTGCTTCAGCGGTATGTATTACTCAATAGTCGTCAGTATCATTCTCCTAAAAAAATGTTGTCGTGAAACCAAGTTAGCTGACCGGATTGCAATACTAAACTTCTTTAGGAATTCAGCCGACAATTTGGTATGTATAAAACCCTTTTTGGTTTTATTTAACAATTTAACAAAACTGGGCATTTAGGAGCTTCACAATTTTCCACAATGTAAGCAATATGTTGGCAACATTGGCCGACATATCATATAGCTCTATGTGAAATGTTTTTTGTTTCTTACAACATCTTAACCAAACTTGGAAATTACGGGGCTTAATATTCCCCTAATATTGGTGCAAAATCTTATTAACATCGAACTATTTAATATATAGCTTTAGAAACAGTCGGTCGCAACTAATGTTTATGTATAATAACATTTCACATATGTCGGCAAGAGAATATAAGTTTCAGGCTGCCAGATTAGCCTTTTATTATTATTGTCTAAGGTTTTTAAGGGAATCGGACAGATGTTTTTAATGCTTAATATTCCAGATAATTCATTGCTAATATGTCAGGGGGGAAGTGAAGCTTGCAAATTTCAAGTTTAATGCAGATATCTTTGAAAAACATAAAATATTTGAAGCTAAAACTCGGTACTCAATCAATCGGTCGATTTCTACATATGTGCGGCCTGTAAAATAAAGACGAACTTGTGCAAAGTCTGTGACTGGCTTGCATAAAAACACTCAGTCAGATGGACATCTCAATTCCAACTCGTACTTTATAGGTTTAGTGACAGAAGGAAATTTCAAACAAATTTAATAAAAAATTTGAATACGTATTGCCACCTAGCGAAAATGCAGCTTGAAATCACATATGTAATTTGTATGAAATTTCTTCTTAGAAGCTCAGATTCTAGTTGTATACTTTTTTAAAACAAAAGACCGCGCATATTTATTTATTTTCTGTATTTTTTAATTGGTAGTTTACTAGAACGCTACTATGTTTACCAAAGCAGGTTTGATTTTGAACAATGTGACAAATATAAAAGTAACAAGCAGTATAATTATTTTAACATCGTCGAATTTGCTGTAATGATTTTGGTATTTCAAATTTCAAATTTTTAGATTTTAAATTTATATGCCATAAAATAAAGGTGCCGATGGATATAACATGAGATATGACCAAATATTACTTCAAAACTTCCTTTAAAAAACCTCAACATTCAACGTTCTTTTTCTTTATTTTAATTTATTTTTGGTTGATTTTGCGTTTTAGGTTGTTAAATTATATCAAAAGGGCCCTTTTTTATTATTTTATTGTTTTGACAGTGTAATCTTTTCGTATTTGAGCGATTTATAATTAACAAAGAATTTAGCTGTTTCTTATTTTTTTTGTCTAATGACTTAACAAATAATGTTAAAGTTGAAATTATTATACAGTTGAAAACATTTTCATTAATAATATTGTGATAAAACAACTTATATAGCTTTTCGTTTTTGTTGTATTTTGTGTAAAACTTTCTTACTGCTTGACTTGAACAGCACAAGCTTTAATTTTTGCTGTGAACTGCCTAATAATTGTTCGCTTTACTTATCAAATGCGAAGTAAATTGGCATTAACAGCATTACAACTTTTTTTTAATTTTACAGGCAGGAGAAAGCATTTCCATGTGCGCCTGTCTACCCGTTTGTAAAAAAAAAAAATAAAATTTTTAAGACAGACGCGTGTGCTTTGGTCTTTACATACATTCCCCGAAAGATCGGACTAGAAGCATGGCAGTAATTCAATAATGTATTGCTCATAGGATGCGGCTGATAGGAGAAGAAGCTCAGCCGCGGCGAAAAGTGAGAAGCTTGCGGGGTGTTCTTTATATGCGTGAATGTGTGCTTTTCTGCATGTATGAATGAAAGAAAGTTTAAATGCGTACAGCGGCAGCTCTGAAATTGGTACAGGGTATTTCCAAACCGAGCACTGCCGACTTCTTTATTACAATCTTGCAAAGGGTATTATGATTTTGTATCTAAATATGAGAAGGCGAATACATCCCCGATCCTAGAACATTAGATATATTCACGACCCGTATCAGCTTAAAATCGATTAACTCATCTCTGCCTATCCGTTTGTCTATGCTTGCTAGTCTCTCAGTCCTTCAGTTTTATAACTATCGTCGAGAAACTTAGCATTAGAACATGTCTCGGAAATAGATTGCCATATGATATAGCTCTCATAAGAATGTCCGGTCGAACATTAATTTTTGAAGATACCTTTATCAAACTTAGAATTGGCGAGGCCTACTTAGTCCTTGCAAAGAATAACATTATTTTGTATATATAATAATAAATATTAATAAACAGTTCTATTTTGTTCGAGATATCTTAAGGAGATATCAGTGAAATATTATCGACTCGGATTTCTATATCATAGAGCCCCATAATCAATCATTCGGAAAATAAAGCACTTCTGATTAAAAAATATATCTGCATGGGTATTTAATTATCGGTGTTGTTTCTTTTCATTGCGAAATTATGACTTAACACTAATAATAATGAAACCTAACCTAACATTACTCCTGCGAAAATTGCTAAGGTCGACCAATGCAATGTAGATGTTGCCAGACTACGAAGCTGGCTGTGCATTGCTCATCACAATTAGTTTTAAATATACCTACGTATATGCAGTACAATTTTCATTTAAATTATTCCCCCACGTCCTTGAAATCGATAAACTATAAAAATAATTGGCAGCTTATTTGTTTGCTATACCCTGTACCTATTGAGAATGGATTAAGTAGGGTATAATGGTTTTGTGCAAATATATGTAACAGGCAAAAGGAGGCAAGCCACGGTCCGCCCGTCTGTCCGACCGTCGGATCTGGGTGCTTAAAATATAAAACATAGGTTTTCATGTATCATATGCAGAACCGTTTTATTTTTATCGATAACTGCATTTGCTTAAGATCGATTAATGTGATTTTTAAATAAATGATTAAAAGTATATATCGGAAAAATTTAATGTGGTATTTTCATATAATAAATAATAATTAATATCAAACTATCTAGAATTTTCAATAGTGTGTGACTAGGAAGAAGAAGCACAACCGCTGCGTAAAGTGCGTAAAGGTTGCTCGATGCTGGGTTACCCTATACTCTAAGCGTTGGATCCTCGATTACAGCACTCTTGAAATTTCTTATATATATATAGGGGGTTCATTCGTAGGAACCGGCCGAATCGGACCACTTATATAGCAAACTGAGTTGTCATATGGCAAATTTTCTGTTATTTTTTATATCAAACTCATTTGCAAGCTTTGGTATTCTTACATATCTTCAAAGCCATAAAGTAAATGTCTGCAAGTGTATTTAATCCACAACGTACCGAACTTATGTATTTTTCTGCCAGATGCATGGGCAATGTATATTCCCAGGGTATAAAATTATACTCATGCATGCCTAGGTCAAATGAAATATTTGATTTGGCTGGCCATATCCATTAAGGGGAAAATAAAAACAATAACAAAAAATGTTAATATATTGTAAAAATATTAAAAAAAAGTTCTTTGCTCTCCTGACGTTTCTGTATATAAATCTGATTGTCTTAACTGATTGATTGGCTGACTGATGATCGATACCCAGCCCAAACCGCTAGATAAATCATGAAATGTTGTGAGTTCTTCGCTTAATCGTAAAAAACTTGTAGACAGCGGTTGTAAAAAACTTTATTGTTTTTCATACGTCCACTTCCACTCTTTTTTAAAAGTAACTTCGGAAAGTTTTTGGATACATGTATACACTGGCTGTATAAGCTGAGCAATAAGTAAAAGAATCTAAAGACATTGGAGGTGGGCGTTGCGGTTTTGCCTGTTGACTATTTTAAAGCTGTGGGATATACAGATTTGCGCGGTTTGCTTGCGAACACATATTTATATATTCGAAACAAGCCTAATAAAAAACCCAAATATTGCGTTCATTCGGAAATATGCAACAAGATGGACGTAAAAAATCAATAGACCCCTTTTTTCTTTGCAAACTGAGTATAAGAACCGTGCTTTAATAAGGATATTTAAAAACAAGTTAAAGTGCTCTACTCCGGTGTTTTCCGACTTGGGGATACGCGTTCTAATTTTCTTATATAAGCTGCGCACTTTACGCAGTACATGTACTTCGGTGCATATAGTCTGATACTTCTGCACAAAAAAAAATTTCTTTCATTTGGTGGGGATTTTAAAAGTGAAATATTCGGCATCTGTGTATATATGAATCTACTTAACTACTATAATCTTCAATTAATAAATAGTTATACGGAGAACATATATATATTTCCAATTGAAATCTCCAGCTTTTGTTGCCACATACGTTTGCAGACAGCCATAATACCCATTTTAGTGGATACAGGGCATAAAATGTGTTCGACAGAATTTTAATGTGTATTTTACATAAAAAATGGGCCTTTCTGGTACCACAGCTTGGATTCTTAATTATATTTGCATTAGTCGTAAAAAATGTGTTATATCTTATATATTATTGTGTTATAAAAGTGAAATTCAGAAAATTTGTGATATCATTAAGTGTTGCAAAATTAAATATACATATATAATTCAAAAATCTACCATTCTAGGAATATACAAATTCTAAAAAGCGGCGTTTACGCATTCGTGTTTATAATAAATATGCATTTTAAAATAATTGGTAACGGTGGCCCTCATAACCTGCTCAATTAATTAACTTGAATAAATATTTATGCAACGGTTTTATTTTTAAATTTTTGTTAAGTTTATCACAAGGCTTTAAGGATTGAATTAGTTTAGCTAAAATGTTTTAATTTAAGTATACTGTTTTTATTTTTAAATACTTTTGGTTTGTTGTGTAGTTTTGGTCTTCTATATGCAAATGTTGTGAGGCATTATTTGCTTTTAAGGTAAATTGTATCTAAAATACCTGGGCGAGTTGTTTATAATTGAGTTAACATAGCTTCTACATTTTTTTTATTTGTTTTAACTTTTTTTTTATATTTAATATATTTTATATTATGCTTTCATGCTGTTTTATTTGCTTTGATATGTTTTTAATTATATTGTTGAATCCAATTCCTTTCTTGTGTGGTTTAATTGAGTGCAATTATTGGATATATACGACATTATTAAAATACATATTTATAAATTATTGAAGATGATTAACATATTATGAAACGCCTGCTTAATTGCTGGCTTGTTTCACTTAAGTAATACAAAAGACCTAAGAAAATATTAGTGCTCTAGTCGAGCGTGGTCGACTAGTAGATACCCTGTACCCACCTCTTACATTTGTACTTACTTACACGTATTACATTTCTCACAAAAACACATATTGTGTGGTTACGCTTAATCTTCACTTAACGCCATGGCTTTGAGAAAAGATCCTCAAACTGTTTTGTGCTTATCTGATAACACGGGCCATTCAATTTGAATATTGGAAGGCATTAAATAATGTTAATATATGCGTTAATCTGTATCCTAGCTTCAACTATTATAATCTGTCTCATCTACTCAAGAAAGTGAAGTTCATAATTGATATTAATCGATTTGTAGGTAAAACAATATTCAATATTTTAGACCCTTAGCACTTTTTGAGATCAGCGAGCTTATACAGACCGACAGGTGGACATGGCTATAACGACCAATATCAACTTTCTGATTTAACATATAAGTTAATATTAGGAGATTTCTTCTGCACTTTTTGACCCACTTTTAATGGGTACAGAGTATAAGGACTAACGTTGGCAGCAACTAATGCACTGAAAAGAACAAAACATTTATTTTAAGGAAAAAATAAAATAGAAACAGAGCATACAAATAAACCTATATTTCTATACATACACAAATATATAATTTTGAGGAACCCAAAATGTGTAGAATAATAACTTGAATATTTGAAGGCTTTAAATTAAATAAAGTAATTGAACAAAATTTATTTTCACGCAAAATATTTGACTAGAAACGTTGTTAATAACATATGCATATGTGTATAATATCTTCATATGTATAAATACGACTTTTATGCAAGGTTCATTCATTGTTACTATTTTTGTGTGATGATAACCTGGATCACCTTTTTATTATTTTTCTTTTCAACTACGGTTAGATACTTATAGCTTTAAAGCTGATTTTTGTTTGCTTTTTATGCTAAGGTCTTTTATTTTAGACGGCGTTTCATTTTGGTACATACTTTCAGCATAAGTTCTTAAAATATCGGTTTAAATATTATTTATGAAAATAATTATTTATTCCAACTTGCCAAACATTTGATTTAAAGCAAGTCTCTTGTCCACAGTTTTTAAACAAGCAGTCGAATATCAATACGTATGATTTTTACTCTGTTCACAAATTGAAAATGAGTATATTGGCTTTGTGCATTGTCTTGCTTCCCGTCCGTTTGTTTGAATAAACGCAACCTTTGTTAAAATATTATACTCTTCAAACATGAAATATATAACTCCGTATCCCATGTACGTCCGTGCCAGACAATGTGCTAAGACTTTTGGCCATGTAATCTAGGCGGCGGGCTAACCGCGAAATCTGGACCTCACACAATTTGAAAGCTAGAGTCACAAATATTGCAGGCAGTCTTCTCCTGACTATCTCTAAATCCTAAAGGATTAAAGATTGAGTAGGCAATATTCCCGCTCCGCCCACTCCCCGACTAACGAAGGAAATGATCGATATCTCGCAGTCACAGTTTGAAAGTCAATGTTTTGAAATTGCATTCTTAGAGCCAACAACTTATCATCAAGGTTTTTGTTTGTCTAATTTAAGCTATAATTACACTGTGAACAGAGTATTGAGCAGTCGGCTGCACCCGACTGCTACTGTTTTGCTTGTTTATTTTTAATGTCGTATAAATAATATTATATTAATAATAAACAATTCGTTTGTATATTTATTTTAATAAAAAATTTTATGTTTTTTAACTAGGGTTGTTCTTGTTTTTTATATTGACGATTAGCGTTGTTTATCACTTGTTCTTTGTTTTGTTTTTGCTTTACTATATGCTTTTTATATGCTTTAACTTATGTGTTAATTTTTAAATAAATTAGTTTGTGTTGTTTTCTTTAATAAATTTAAGTTAAATGGCTTTGCAAGACCTTTAGAACTTTGAAATTTTGTTCATTTATGGTCATGACTTTTAAGATGTATTTCCACATTTTTAGATTATCAAATAATTGTATGCTGTTTTTATGCTGTTTCCTTAAGCGCAAGTTAATGGATGTTGCTTTTAGCTTAATTTTATGAAAATCCCTTATAGTGTACAAAGAAAAATATGAGAAATATGGCATAAGCTGTTGGAAATGTTATTCTCGCGATGACATCAATCGTCTTCGCCACACGTATCGGATGCGGTGGCTCTTTCTTGCGCATCTGAACAAAGCAGGTCTGCAAATACATAATTAAAATATATATATTTAGAGGTTCTTTATATTGCTGAGATATCTGCGCAAACTCGTATCTCACCTCCGTGGCGCATCCATTATTAGCGGAGTGGGTGCACGGGCTATTGCTGCTTCCGCATGTGGTGCATGCCACAATCTCATTCGGTGCTCCGGCGTCACGTCGCTTTTCGCCCTAATACATTAAAAAAATGAAAGCGGTTAATTATTGATCACTCGCAAAAGAATATAACACTTTTAAGCTTTTAAATGCGTAAAACAATAAACAATTGAATTTATTTCCAAATGCATTTTCATCACAAACAAATAGAAATATAAGCTTTTTAACAGTTCAAGTCTTATGTCCTTGATTATAAAAATTATGCGAACACATTGCTTAGGGACCAGTATATAGGGTATACAAACTGGGAAAAAATATTGCATGTACGATTCGGAGTAAAACTTCTTAAAGGTTGCCAAATAACGAAGATATATTGAGATTGTTGCCTTTGTCAATTATACCCTGTATACAAGATATGGCCAGTCTTATTGGTTATAATATGCATTGAGAGTGCCAGACGGTTATAACTCCTGCCACTTAAAGTATATATATTTATCATCTCATATTTTTAGAATTTTTGAATCAAGTATGCGCTCCAACAGATAGCGAAAGATAGATTAAAGACCTAAAATTTGAAATAAATACTCTCGTATTCATTTTGAGACATAGTTTTTTAACTCCGCTTTTTACACAAAATTGAATAATAAAACTCTCTCTTGTGTACCATATTTAAGCCCTGCATTGATGGATACACAGATCAACGTGGCTAGATTCTTTCGGCTGTTGGTAGTAACTAAAATATATATACTTATTATGAATAAGGGTATTTAGCAATGAATGTTCCATATTGCCAGGCTGAGGAAGGAAGAATTATGCCCACTACCCTAAATGTGCAGCTCTAAAATAATGTTGACTGCAATTTAAATGGAATACGGCGTATTTTTACTGCATACTTACGGGCTGTCCCAGTTGAACGATTTTTTTTTGAAGGCAGCATTTAATAATTATGAAAATTGGGCATTAAATGTTTTATTTAGAGAATGTTGCTTAACATTTTTATTTGTACCATTATTTGTTATAGCTGTTACCCTTGCAGATGGTATTATAATTTTTGTAGGATACACAATTATGTTTATGTACATGATGACTATATTGTAATATTGATGTTTGATTCTATTGAATCGGTTGTAAAACGATCTAAAAGTATCATCTCTTTTTTTGTTGCAGGCAGTGCAATTAATCGTTTCGGGCATATCTGCGTATTTGGTTAAGATACATTAAGCAGCAATATAGGCTTTGATTATTGAACTCTGTGAATTCGTTCCTATCAAAACAAACTGTATTTAAATCAGACTGCCTACCATATAGCTTCTGATTGGAATAAGGAGGATATAAAACTGAATTTATTATTTAAGTTGCGTTATGTGGATAAAGGGATAAGCTCCAATACTGCAAGGGTATTTAACCTTCGGCACACCGAAGCCTGTTTTTTTTAAATAATATTTTTTGTTGTTGATATGGCATGAGAATTTTGTTTCGGATTTATGCAGTAAATGAGTGGAAAGGCGTATGTTATGAATTATTTTGTTAAAAAATGATCAAAGCTTAACGTCATTGAAAATCGTTATTGTACGTGGGAGGTGCGAAGTTTTAAGTAATTTAAGCAATGGAAATTAATAATTTAAACGTGCTGAAAAATTACATATATAAAGCGAGTGCGCAAAGCAAGGGTTGAGTAAAAAGCTTCTACTTTTTATACCCTGTATCCATGTTAAATGGGTAAAAGAGGGAATTCTGGTCTTGTGAAAACGCATGTGTAGAGGCAAAGAAGAGGCAAATTTCCCGCAAAACCAACAAATTCCTAAACCAGCCATTATCACCTGATTAAATAGAGTGAGTTATAAGTCGGTTTTTGTACAAAAAATATTTCATTTAATGCTCGTTAAAAATTTGCAAACAAAAGTTATTGAGATATACTCTTTTTGGTATGCACACACTTTAATTTAACCTTCATGACTTATAACTTTCGTAGCAATGCATTTTTTGTTTTTGTGAGTTTTGTATATTAATATATAGCTGTGGAAGCCACACATTTTTGATTGCATTACTCTTTCTAACGCGGGTATCTACATAAAACGTCTTAGCGTCTAAAAAACAGTTCTCCAGGAGGGCCAGACAGAAGGACGAAAAATACAGAAAACTAACAGGCCGTTAAGTATAAAAAGTATATGCACCTTTTTAAAGCATATTTACGGGCTGCTACATTTGTTTATATTATTGACAGACCCGATTAATTGATTGACTTACTTAGAATCCAAAAACAGACTGAAAAAGCTGAAGCTGAAGTCTGAATTTCCTTTTTAACTTTTTAATTAAGGTGCATTTGTTTCTTATTGATTTTATTTTCTTGTTTTTTCTGTTACGCTCTTTAGGTTGGATAACAAATTGACAAAGAAAGACGAGAATATCTTTCACATTTTTAATATTGGACAAATAGATTATGGGTATAAACAATCTTTTGCATACCATATTTATGTTCTAAAATTTTGAAAAAGTTAAGCACTGCCGTTATATTTATTAAATGTATAACGCTAAGAAGGAAACGATCAATCAATATATCAGAAGCACGTATTTATTCCATATGTTCAGTGATTTCCAATGATTATCGGTCTACCCTACCTACCTTATCTCTATTTATAAAACTGTTTGTCCTGACTGACCCTAAGAGCTACAAAGCTGAGGAAGTGATGAGTTCCTTATGAAATTTTAAAGGCACGATAATTAACTTATGCGGGTAGAATTTCGAAATGTGTGAAATGCGTATCAAATGAAATTGAGCAAAGATCTTTGAAAATGAATTTGAAGCCGATAAACATAAAACCGCTTTCGGTCAAATTTCCATAGATGAGGGTGGGACTTAAAAATACGATTAAAGACGATCGAACGAAACTTAAAACTTTGGAGAAGGCTTCGAAAAGTGTGAAACTCATTTTAAATGATTTTTCATTAAGATCTTTGGCAACGAATTTGAATGCGAATCACCAAATCTTTGACGCCCATTTATACCAAAGAGGAATGGATTTTCCGAAAAGTGTGAAGCATCCCTCGATTAAATTTGAACAAACATCTTTGAGAATGAGTTTTAGGCCGATCAGATGGTAAAGAAATAATTATCATACATATTTTTTTCGCGATTTTTCCATACTTGTGGGTGGAATTTCCCCGTTTTGCATCTGCAACACATGAAGTAATTACAGTAAAAGTTTCAGCTTCCTAGCTCTTATGGTTTGGACTGTGCGTTAATCAGAAATCAGTCAGAAAAAAATATTTCACTGTCGAGTATATGCCCAATACGTATAAGATAATTTTAGGTCTTAGAGCTTTACTATAGGAGCGTATACATCGCCCCTCTTAAGCAAATGCAAATTTCCATGATAGTTCAGAAGATTTCGTTTGAGCGGTTCGGTGCTTGTAGCTTCTAATTACCGGACATATTTTCAATTTATTAGTATTTATTTAGGATGTGTAAGTATAGTTGGCTAGCAACAACCCAACCAATCCGGTAAGCTAGAACCGAGTGGCATGGATTTGTTAAGGGTTTCCTAAAAGCCTTTTGGTCTTTTACACTTGGTATAAAAGACCCCATCCATATGGCAGGCTTGTACCAAAGACTCAAGGCAACTGCCACACACTTATCATCTTGTGTACGAGTATGAATATTTAATTTTGTTGACACTTTCCCTGCAACAATTGTTTTTAATATGTAATATACTTCAAATCTGTCCTACGGAGACAATCATTGAATTGTGTCGATTTATCTTGACGTTCAACGAGAAATTACATTTAGCTGACATATGGCACAACATTTACATTGTTTATCATACAGGGGAGAACATTTTAATTATGAAGTTGATGATGATTTTGTTATTGATGCTATTGATTTTTGTATGTGGAGGAAAATTAATTAGTGGGACTGTATGCTATTCGCCTGAGTCTTTTAGGAGTAGATCCAGTGGATGAAAGCACCTCCCTATAAATTTGAAAAGTATTTCATAATAACCGTTGGTATATAAATTAACGAATTCAATGAGTTATGGGATTTAATTGATACAATTTTGTAGGCGTCAATGCCTGTCGACTATCTCACGAAGATGGACAAACATTAAATTTTCCATAGTGTATATTTTCCTTAGGACAGTCGGGTACTCTAAACTGGAGGACTATCACTTGTTGATTGCTCCCTGCATTGATTCAGAAACCACAAAACACTCTGTAGTACCGAGTGCACTCAAAATGGATAACTTGTAGGGATAATATTTTTGTATACCCTTTTAAATAGTATTTTAATTACAGCCTAGTAAAAAAGGCAATTAATGAGACGTCGTTGACTCCATAAATTATTAACTATGTATTTCTTTTTTATGCAAACTGCTGCCACACTTTCTAATTTGCCATTGTCATGATAATTGCAAATGCCCATTTTTTTTTTTGCTAACGATCAAAGGTCATTTTTGAGTTTTGTTCTACAAATATTTAACATAATATTATTTAAAACAAGGAAGGTTGCAGTCGGCTTGAGTCGACTGCGCGATACTCAGTTTGCAGTGCAATAACACCTTAAATCAATCGAATTGAGTCTTTTCGCTTAATACTCCGTGACTGTAATCTCATGACCGTGACATTCAAACTTTAGGGAAATTAATTTTATAAAATTGTGGGCGTGGTCGAAATATTTTGCCTCGATCTTTAGAGTAATAAGTCTGGCTGTCTCATAACGACAGACGGATGGGCAGCAAGAAGAAAATCGCAGAAAACAAATAAAATATACTTTACGAACAGGGTATATAAATATCGGGCCCCGTTTTTAAGCAATCGATACAAATCGATATCGAAATACGCGTTTCGGAGCATATCTCTTAGGCTTCAGAGTTGACATGTAGCTTTCCGTTTGGTATACAGATCAAGTAAGTAGATTTACAAGAATGCCAATTGGAACTTAAACCATGTGTGCTGCTATTTCAAGATAGGGAGTTAGTATGAGCCGTGCCAATAAGTTCGTTCGGTTGATGGGGGTGCGAGTTCAATCCCAGCAAATCGGATTTATATTTTTAAGTATTTAGTTTTAACAATGTTCATGATATCTCTTTAGCCCTTTAAGTGGGTAAAAGTGTATTTCTTAGATAAACTTTGAGCAACTAGATGTGGAAGATTTGGGTTCAAGGTCTCTTCTAGTCGGGAAAATACGACTAGAGCACTGTTACTTGCTTATGCATGTATGTTGTTATAAAGTACGGATGTATGTTACGGCAATTCGAAGCAGGGTACTAGGCATCCCTGCCGGAAATATATAGAACAGAGAACGACTTAGCACAAGCGCTGCGTAAGGTGCACAGCTTACGGCGTTTGCGTTAGAAAGTCTGTGTGATTTTCTGCATGAATGTGTGAATGTACATATGTACATATATAAATTGGTACGAATTTATGTAATTCGTTTTGGGTTCGCGTTGTTATGGTTTGGGTTAACAGTTAACGGTTAACAATAACGGAATAAAGTTGTGTTAGTCACTTTGGCTTTTTTCGGCTTGTCGACGGGCCATTACTCACATTTTTCACTTCAGTCACGGATGTCCTTGTCCCGATTATTATTCTTGCTTCCATATCCGCCGCGTAGGCGCTGCTTGGTGAATTTGAACGCGAAGATTTTCTGCGTGGCGGCTTTAAAGGTAATTCTAATTGATGCTGGCGCTCGGCCATTTCGATAAATGGCAATGGTTGCAGCTTCAACTGTTCCTTCGCCCCTTCTTCTTGTTCTTCCTTTTCTTGCTCGATGCGCACCACCAACGCTGGCGTGCTAGTGCCAACAGAGCGGCGCAGCGTGGGAGAGCTTTCCTTTTGCTGTACATCTTCAAATCTAACACTTGTCGAAGCCACATTTGCTGTCATATTGCTACCCGGCTCAGGCTCTTCATAAATGTGCTCGGTAGCCAATGAGGTGGATTTTAGACCTGGCGATGTGGACTTTGATGACGCGCTTCTTGTGGCTTCGTGGCCGCTTTTACGTTTAATAGAACGTGCTCGCAAATTTTGCACTGCTGCACCAATGATACCACCATGCGCCTCTTGCCACCGCATGCCGCTAAGAAGTTCGTTCTCCGCAGGCCTTTGTGTGCCCGGTGTGGATTTGGGCGCGGCTAAGCTCATTGGGAGCGGCGTACCGGCCATGTCCGGCGTGGTGATGGTGCTCGCCTTTTCGTTGGGAGACGACAAAGCAGCGTGAAATTCTTGTTCGATTATTTCCTATCTTGTATTGGTGGATGGGACAGTTGGGTGCAATAGTTTTGTACTTATTTGTTTTTGGTTTTGCATGTTGCACGAGCACATTGAAAGAGGAAACATTGATGTTGAGATTGGAGAGAGAGTTGGAGATTTTTTTTAGTTAGGACTTGATTGCTGCACAGTTGTTTTTTCAGTTAGTTGAATTAGTTTAACATGCAGGGTCCTCCTGCTGTTCCACAATTGCTGAGCTTTCAGATCGCAAATCACTTTTTGGGAATTGTAAGGTAAAAGCGCATTTAACAAAGGCAGTTAGTAGTCGAAAGAATAGGTATCTAGGTAATCGCTACTTCTGGCAACTCAATTTGCAATTTATTTTGAATACGACTTCTTACTATTTATATGCCTTATACTATTTATATGCCATTGAATATCTCTAAAAGTCTATAAACACTTATCAGCAAGGAAACGGAAACGTGAGGGACTTATAATTATTACAGTGGATTTCTGAGAATATTTATTTTTGAATGCACATTTTGTGACAAAATTATAAAACGCTCGTCAAGGGAAAAATATAATTTTATGTTTGGTCGAAGTTCCTTGAAGAGCTGAGAAATCTAAAGAGGTTCAGTCTAAGAACAAGTCGGTAAATGAAGATGGTGTAAGATGTGCGTAATTGCTGCTTTGATGACATCTAAAATCTAAAGGAATCTTCTAAAAGTAAGCACAATAATCAATGCTGAGCAAGCGAACCGGACCAATAATTACCATACAAAACGCAATAAACGGCAGCAGCCAATTCACGATATGATGACCTGCTTTAAAACTAAGCATCCATTTCGGGCAAATAGCTGCTCTGGACATTTTAAATCTGGGTCTTAAATAAAAAATCTTAAAAATCTAACAGAGTACGGCTTAGAAGCGAAATATGTTAACCGGGATGTATTAAGTGACCATCACAAGTATTGCAGGGATAGAGGAACACCAGGCTGACTTTATAGTTATTGTGGGTTGCGCTTTGTGTTAAAGGAAACTATACAGTTCGCCTAATTGAATCCTTTTGCGGAAGAATGGAGACAACTGGATATTGTAATATACGATGAGTAAGATAGACATGCGATGGGATTTTTCTAGTTCCAGAACATAACATTGCTTAACAGGATAGTTTTAAAATTTTCTCTAATATCCTGGAGGATTTGGGGAGAATACTTGCCAAGCAACCCAACATTACGATTAATTTAAATGTACCAATAGGGTTATTGTAAAAAATTACTAAAACTCACTTTTGCACCCTAAGGAATTATTCATTGCCTTTTCGTTTATCAGAGATAACTATTAATAATCCAAAAAATATCATCTGTAATGAATGCTTTTTCGTTTATCAGAGATAACTATTAATAATCCAAAAAATAACATCTGTAATGAATGCTTTTATATTTTTGTTTAAGCTGAAACTTTTCGGCATGATATCTCTATTTATTTATTTTTTATATACATCATTTGAATAAAAATATATCGATTTTTTTATTCTAATACCTTTAACTAATACTACTTTCAAAAACCAGAAGACTAAAAAATACGGAAATCTTAAATAAAACGGAAATCTTGTATAATAAATTACTAAGATTGCCAGGCTTTGAATGAACATATCCAAGGTTAAGGTTCACTTTCCACATGTAAAATATAGTTTTAATATTAAACTATTTGGCGACAACTACTAAAAACCCTCAATTTAATTATCTGTTTAATCAGTTATTTCACAATAAAAGATATACTTGCACTGTCAGCTTATAAATAAGGGTTACTCGCAAGCAAAAATATAATAGACATGTATATTAACTATGTGAATTAAGCATACACAAAAAACAAATACTGTTATGGATATTTCTAAGGTGTTGGGTTATTTTGCATTTAATTACTATGACAAGTATAGCGAAACACATAATAAATTTAACATTAAATCAAAGCAGACTGGAAAAGTATAACTTAGCATTCACCAAACACAATTACCATTAAGATAATAATATATATTTATTTGTACTTGTATTGTATTGGGTTATTGCACTCATATACTACAAGGAATATAATAAGTTAGTCTTAAATAAAGGTACGACCAGATAAATTACCTAAAAAAGCTATTAAACATACAGCAACATAAAATCGAAAATTAAAAACTTTCGGCATTATTCGGTTGCTTCTACATACCTTCAAAACACAATTTACAAATTCGAAATATGGTTTATTTTTCAAATATTTTTGAATTTTAAAAACGATAAAGCATCTTTTAGTTATTGCATATGGCGTGTCTGTTGTCAGTAACTCAAAGACATAAAAAACAGGTGAAATATTATAACATAAATACTCTTAATAAATAATTAAATAAAATTATATAATAATTTATTGCTCATTTCAGTTTCATTTAAATTAGTACCATATAAAACGAACATATTTTCATATGCTCACATTTTTCGAGTTTTGCTTTTAACATTTTTCCCAATTGTAAGTGATCTTAAAGTGTGTTTTATTTTTATATTATTTTTATTTACGCAATTGATGTTGTTGTTGATGTTTCCGGCTGTTTGTTATTGTTATATTGTCATATTGTCAGATTTGTTCATATTGTTTTATTAAATATTATTTATTCACAGTTTTGTTATAATTGTTTGGGCTGCCGAGTGTTTTATTACGAGTATATTGAGAGTTTTATTATGGTAAAAACAAGAATAGAATTCACGAAAATATCGGGAACTCTGATTAATATGAAACTAAAAACAAAAAGTAAAATGAACTAAACTTTTAAAGCATGCTTCTATATTATGTTATATGAAATATATAATACTTCCCTATTATTTCATTTAAAATCTATTAAATGAATAAAAAACCAAACATACTCAAAACCCAAAAAACAATATATAAATAAGTAAATGAAAATAAAACAATTCTTTTATGCAGTTAAGTTTAAAAGCAAAATTCACATGCCATTTGTAAGATTTTGTGTGACTCACTTAATGATGTCGGTTTTGTGTGAGCGGTGAGAAGCGCGATTTTGGATGAGTTTGTGTTCCATTATAATGTTAATGCTATGTTTTTGTTGTTGGTGTTTGTCTCATTTCTTGACAAGAAAAGGGAAGGTGCATGATTTGTGGTTAATAGCTTACCAAAGGACTTGCAAGAATTACTCCGATCCTGCTTAGTACCGCTGGAAGACGCTGTAAAAATGTACACAAAATAATGTTCATACTCAAAACACACTTTAAGTTTGATTGAAGTTGTCGATTTTAGTTAAGATTGCTTTGATTCTGCGTAATTTTTGCATAGCTTAGTTGCTGTTATGTAAGATATTCGTTTTGCTTATGCTCAAGTTCTTGTATCAAATAAATATAATCTTAAACATCACAAAAAATTGGGAACAATGTTTGATTTTTATTTGGGCCTAAATATACTTTTTATATGTATTTTAATTATCCATAATCTACAAAATTAAAATTATCATATACATATAACAAACATTAAAGTGGCATATATATAAGTATAGTTTTCGTTATCATTAGACAATAAGTACAGAATGCGAGCAAAGGGAAATCGCCCGCAGAGTGCAGCTATGCTAATCCTAGCTGGTGACCGACTTTGATCCCAGGCTGTAAAAGCTAAGAAGCCGAAATCTTTACCTTAAGCGATGCACGTGTGCTCTAAGGCGGGGCCTGCAAAAATTCCACCAGCAGTTTTAGAAAATTGGACATTAAGTCGACATCAATTCTATTTAAAAAGTCCTTGCTTAATTAAATTGGCAAATTGTTTCGCTCTTTTCCGAAAATTTAGCCTCCTCGGTAAGGATGTATGTACGAGTAAAAGATCGAGACAAGTCTGATCGGGCTCAAAGTCCAGCTCTTTTCAACATATATCGAAGCATATAAGATGATAGAGCCACAAGGTCAGCAGATTATAAATGATATATGAAATATATGGTACATCATATCTGCCATTTCCTGGTATTTGGAATATTTACGAAATTAAATGCATTATTTATTTATATGCAAAATTTTAACAGAAGTTATTTCTGTAAGTTTGCAACGCTGGAAAACAAGCACATTCATGATTTGTCAATACAGTTACAGCTCCCATTAGCGGACCCCCACCGCCGCACTGTTTTTCTCCGGTTATGAGCTCTGTGCGTAATCGGAGCTTTTACTGTACATGTTTTTGTTTTTTAAATATTTCTTGCTATTACTGTATTCTTGCTATACATGTTCTGAATGCATGAGGGCTTTGAGTTGTTTCAGTTGGAAAATTTCGTCCAGAAAATTATTTTGTTTATCTTTGGTGGACAAACCTTTGATCAACTAAGTAATGCGCAACAATTAAACTATGCAACAGATTCTGTGGCAAGGCCCAAATTTTTGGTAAACTGGAGCACTCCTAAAGCGAAAATAAATATTTAAATGTATATGAAAAGGTAATTGAACGTCTTACGAATAAGAAATATAAAATTTGTACTTTTGAACTATGGTCAAAGATTTATTAAATTTGTTATTACAAGAAAAGTTGTTGTTACATTTCAAAAATAAATTTTTCACGAAAGAACTCAATTTTTGAACAATCGGAAGCTATATACATATATGTATTTAGTATGACGATCTGGATTTTTTCTTGTTTTTCTTTTATAAATCTTCAACTATAACTCAGATACACTTACAAAGTGTATGACGTATTATTAGATCGTTAAATTAGTTTTTGAGAATTGTTAATATGATTAAGTCGGCTCAGATTTTCGCTCGCATTAAAAAAAACATAAAAATTATTCGCTTAATTTTAAAAATAGTTAATTAAATTAATTAATTAAAAATTAAAATTAAAAAATTGTTGTATTAGTTACCAAGCCAACTTTATGGTATACCTCAGGATATATTTCTTTAAAAATTTTCCTATAGTGATATTATTGCAAAAACTTTGTTTTTCTAAAATTGGCTTTGCACAGATGAGAATCTTTAAGACTATAAGGCTTCGGCTGCCTGAAAGCAATATATAAATAAATAATATTCATACACATTTTTAGCTATAAACATAGTTTTGTAACTACATAATTTTGAATCAATAAAATTATGATTTTTTGTGCGTTATTCTCTAACGGATTTTCAATTTACTCGAAGTGGACTGATAAAGACGACGAATTGACAAAATTTAGATACGTTTTCGTCTATATAGACGATTTATATGCGAAGCTCTCTACGAGACTTTAAAGTCCCAGGATGCCGCTCTGAATTAATTTTTGTGGCTGTTTGATTTTACAACCATATAAAAAGATTTTAAGCTGGACTGTTCGAGCTCAACATTGGTCAAAACGACAAACATCCACAAGTTTCTGCATAGTTATTTCAAGAAGCTCCCGGTTTTATCATCAGCAGTCCTTGTAAGAACTTAGAGTCGGGAGGTTCAGCGAACTTCGGTTTACGTATGTATATCAAAGTTTGCAAAAAGAAAACCTTAGTAAAAAATGCAGTCCGAAGTTTTTTTGATTGCGGTATAAGAATCAGATTCTCGTGTGAGACCTCACTCGTAATCGCCCATCATGTTCTGATTTCACAAACTCTCACAACTTCCTTTCATAGAATTGAGTTGGAAACGATCAATTGGGAATGTAGGAAATGTATTTCAGTGACATGATTGCTCCAATTATTCAAATACAATTTTTTGTAAGATTCCAATGTATTCCGCACTCAAAAGCTGTGCAGTGACTTGTTGGCATGAGTTCTAGACTGCCCTGTCATGCATTGAAGGAAGTGTGAAGGCTGTTTTTCGAAACACTTGTTCTTTACCTTCCGTATCTAGAGCTTTTACAAAGTTCTTAATAGTCCCAGCTTGTAGCGTGCAACTTTGAACAGGGTTTGGGGGCGTCTAATTTCCATTATTGAGTAAGACGGCCTACAGCCAGGCTTAGAATATCCCTGCTGGTGTCAACAAATAATTTCCAATCCTTTGCGGTTTTTCAAGCCCTCAAAATAGTCGGTAGTGTCATGGGAAATAAACATACCATTCTTCATCGAGGTGAAAATTTATTAACCAAAAACTACGCCTAATTAAAACCATTACACCTGTATGAAGTGATAAAAATTATACAAATTTCTTTTTCGAGCTTTCCTCGAATTTTAAAGCTAACAAATCGAAAAACGTACCGCACAACAAATGATAATTTCATAATTGTAAATTATATAGGTAAGAAACTAATTTAAATTTAAAAACGTATATGAATGAATAATATTCATTATATTTCAGAACGCGTGAAGATCATTAAAACCTGAGGAAAAACTGAGGAAAAAAACAAGAACAAAATGCCAGATTTGAAATAGAAAAAAATTTTACCATGGAAAAAAGTGATTTTTCGTTGTTTGGAGCCCCATATGCATAAGCATGATAGCTGATACAAAGTGACTGTTGATTAGTGTAAGTGTCTTCGTTCGGGGCCCCAACCCACCACAGTAGTGAGGTTAAGCCTTATCGATTTTTGATTGGCTCCGACATAGTGTTATTATAGCCAATATAAACAGAGTGCTCTATATTGTCTTTAGTGTTACCATACATATTCAATTTGTTTTCCTTTCTTTAAACAGCATTAACGAAATGCTTGCACACATGCACACTTCAAGTGTTTATTATTTAAATGAATTCACATACCTAATAATGTAAATAAATAAATATACCTGATGCCGTATTTAAAATCTAATTATTATTTGTTTAATAAATTTGAAATATTTGTAGACGCACAAGCAACATTGTTACTATAAAACATTTACAAAAAGGAATGAAAATTTTAGATTGCTTGGGACAAATCAAATTAACAACACGTCTCTTTTTTGGAGCAGTTGGGAGGGATTTATTCTTTTTATTTTATTAAAATTGCAAACAAAATAAATACGTAGCTGAGCATCACCACAAACATACAAACAGTGGTCGAAAATAACTCACTCAACTTTGAAGTGTTCTAAATAAATGTTAGAAGTTCAGAGGTAAGCAAAAAAAGTCGCTTTCGTTTTTGTGAGAGTGCTTAATGGGAATTAGTTTTCCGTTATTTATGTTTCCCTCTCGTGGCGACTTATTTTTGAGAGAATAAGAAAGTGTCTTTCAGTGACAGAAAAAGTTTTATTAAATGCTTTGTGTGCTTGTGCTCGCTTAATATAAAACTACTTAATTATTTGATATATGCTATTTATTTATATTTAATATTTTGTAATTAAATAGAAAGCAACAAACATACACAATAATAACATAACATACACAACACAATCAACTGAAACTATTTTTCTGTTTTACTATAACATTAATACAAAGACACTCTGAATAGTATATGTAAACATTCAAAGTGTTTTCGGTGAAGGGTAATTTTTCGCTCAATATAAAACATTCAGAAGAATACCGGCATACTCCGAAAAAAGAAATAAAATCGGGTTTGCTTGAGTACAGTGAGAAACACATTCAAAATAAGTAGAGTGAGTTATTTTCGACCACAACGTACAAATATATATAAATACATATATATCACTATTTATACATATGTATTTATTATTTTATAATATTAACAATTATTGAGTACAAATAAAGTTAAAATTTTTGGTAACTTAAGGATTATTTGTTTTGTTTTTGTTTAGGACACCGAAGTTCAATTCAAAATGCTAATTGGGAATGGTTAACTGTGAGGTATGCAGAGCTTAGCTAAATACAAGGTGACCTTTAAAGCGAGCATTTATATCAGGAATGTTTATAGTTAGCACATTGAAATAAATTTAAAATAAGACTTATGTGTAGAGTAGAGATAAAAGGGATAGAGAACTTGAAGATAGCATATTATACATACATAGTTAGGCTACAGAGATAGACAGAAACAACACAGTGACTATAGTTTCTTTTTTCTGTATGACTTTTGTTTACTAGTGCTTTGAAGTTGTTATATCCTTGCAGAGGGTATTATAAATTTGCTACGAAATATGTCATGCATCGAGTGAGACATATTCGTCCATAAATTTGTACCCTTGATCAGCAGATTCGGCTAAATCTTGTGCGTCTGTCTGTTTCGAGAAAGCAGCTTCTCAGCTTTAAAGAAATTTTAATGAATCTTGGTACGTATGAAGACGCGCGGGCTGGACCACCATACAGACCATCGAAAAATATTTCTTTCAAACTTATCAACTTCGAGCTTCCCCATGCTCACTGCGAACTCTCTTTTATATCGGATCACCGCTATATCACCGTGAACATTCGCTCAAAATTTAATAAGTTTCAATAAAAACTCAGAACCTTTGAGCCTTAATTTGTCCAAATATACAGGCAACATCTTTTTAGAGTTTTAAGTAGCTACAATAGCAACAATCGCCGGAGACAGTTTAAGTGGTCGAGCTTAGTATAGAAATATTTCGCAAGTCTTCTTTCTGTCCGCAAGGGTATTTAATCTTCGGTAATCCGAAAATAACATTTTTGGGTTTGTGTTTTTAACCAAATACATTTAAAACAAGAGTATAAATAATAAAGGTAAGTTAATTTAGCTGTGTGTTGGAGTGTTTTTTGTGTGTGTGCGTTTTGAATGGTTCAATAGACGCGTATGTAAGATATATATTTCTTTGCTTGAAATGCATAACAAATCAGCCACAGGCCCCTTTATGACCTATGAGCACTTTTTTATTTTAAACTTTTTTATATTGTATTCTAATTTACCTGTGTTACGGGATTTTCACCCGGACGATAGACGACATTGTGCAGCGGACGCTTACGTCCTACATAATTGACACAAACGAACTCCAGTAAAGAGGCGTAAATGAAGCACATGCAGACTCCGTCCCACACATTCATCGCCGTCAGATTGGAGACAACGGGCAGGGTGCTGCGGAAACCATTCGAGGTAGTGAAGAAATTCAACATTGTTGTCACGCCTAGTTATTGTTGTTGTTACGAGTTGAGCGTAGAAAAGTTGGATTTAAGAAAGACAGAAAAGCTTGCATTAGCGATTTGTAACTTGTTTACCATCATGTTGCATACTTATATGGAACACGACGGCGGGTTTATTTTCGGGGTCTTATGTTGCAGTTCAAGGATGGTGTATTTTGTTTGGTTATTGTAATTTAGTTAATAATTAGTTTGTACGTAAAGATGTATTAGCAAAAGTTCGAGTTAAATTGCAGGGCCACATTGCGGTTGTATAATGCGTGTTAAAATGTAAATAGCCTCTATATACTAAAATATCGTTTGGGAGACGTATGGAGGTACTTTTAACAAAATGCTTTCAAAATGTAACTAGACTGCTTTAGGGTAGTTTGCGTTTTACTTTCTGTCTCACAGCATGCCTTTCTCCGCTCTAAAAAAGCGACACTTTCCATTTTGAAAAAAAAACGTATAAAGTCTACATGTCCAGTAAAAAACTGTAGGGATCAAAAATATAACAGGCGCAGTTCATTTTGTGTGTTTCAAATGATAGCTGATGTAAGATTGACGTATAAAGTTTGTTGTGAGGTGTAAGCAAGCTTTTTCATTAAGGCTGAAAGAGTTCTTTATAAGAAACTGAACCATATTTTGTGGTAGAATAACATTTTAGCAAAGGCAATATAAAGACAGTATTTATAATGTCTTTGGTGGTAGTCAAATGGGAAATTTTAACCTTAAATGTTTATTGACTGAATCAAGAGATAGAAATAACGGGAACTAGAAATTAGCTGCTTCTTCCCCCTGCGCCCCATATTGTAAATTGAATGTTGATTGTTTCTTGTCCCATCTTTATGATATAATTTACATGGCATTCAAATATGTGTGTATATCAAATCTCGTCCTTAGCTTTAAAATTTTGCTTTTGAAATTTCGGAGGGAATGAGGAACATACCCCTATGTGAGATATTTATGCACTGCGTATACTATACTAGGGTGCACATATGTATAATATTTTATGTATATAACTCAAATAGTTCCTAATTTTTGCTCTTGGAAATGGCACCATATATTGAAAAAAATATTCACTTGTATTTCATATAGTAGAGAAAAATGTATGTACAATTACCAGGCTCTAGATTTTGTAGTTTCTGAGATCGACGCGTTTATTTAGACGGACAGACGGGCATGTCTAAATTGATCATGCCCCCTTCTGCCGGTTACATACATTTGCACAAGCCATTATACCTTATATATTCGTTTTTAATGGGTAGTTAGTTTGATTACCTGTCTAGAATATATGTACTTAGCGTGTATTCGAATATTTTGGTCAATTCTATAAACAGATGTATACACTGCGAGTCATCAGGTTAAACACCCTCTATCCGAAACTGACATTTTAAAACTATTGTCATATTCAATTCTCATTTAAATAAAACAAAAATAGGTATTCTACTATATTTTAATATTAAAAAAAAATTTTAAATTAAGAAGTGGGAAGCAACCTGTACAAATTTTCAATATAATAAAATTACAGCGGTTTTTGTAAATATGCTCTTGTTTAGTATGAATATTTCACTGTTTGTATACCCTGCCATTTACACCGCATAGATGCATAAATGCATCTATAAGTACATGAATGTTCTAGAATTTATACATCTGGCTACATCTTATGATTCAAAGAATTCAACGCGTGGTGGTAAAAACCAGAATATTATATTAACTAAGGGGTACAATGAATTTTAAAGTCGAGCACACTCGATTATAGAGCTTTAACCTGAAGAAAAGGACTAAAAATTTTACCATGTATTCAAATGTAAAGGCGTTACTAATTTTAGTGTAGATTGCTTTTGGTTTATCCTTGTAGGACATTCGATTTTCAAGATTTCACGAATTTAGGTAACAGTATGCAGAAAAGGCTACAGTGTCAACGACGACAATCCTGTAGCTGAAGGATAGCTTGGGTGATTCCTCGAAAATATTTATCTACATGGAGGCCGCATGGTAAATGAAACAGGCCGGATCAGGGGCAATCTAGTACGGACATAAGACAAGTTTCTGTTCAAAGGACAGTCGACGTCTGCAAACAAGCTGGCCATAGCGCTAGCCTGATCCACAGGACAAATATAATTTGTGTACGCCTAAAGCAAAGCCGACGCCAAAGGTAGATGCTTATCGTCGCCATCAGTGTCCGGAGTACCCAAGAAGAGTGAGGAAGGGAGAAGCAATTCGAGAAAAGCACGACAACAACTTGCAGCCCCATGAATGGCTTAATAAGACTGACGTCTAAGCACACGTTCAGAGAAAGCATGCTGGAAATGGTTCGGGCCGATGGATAAGTAAAGTGAAAAGGCTGCCACAGTACCTAGAGAATAGCCCAGGCTGAATCCAAGGATAAATTGTGCCGGACAGAATAACCTCCCGGTGGAAACAACCCGGAAGGGTGGATTTATGCGAAAATTGGCCAATTACTCAAGAAGCGAGACCAATTAGTGTTGGGAATGAATTGCCTCCGCAAGGAGGACTAGACTGGGTGATACTTTGAACCAAGAGCCAAGCTGCCATTACAAAATTCTAGTTTCCCCGATACATACATATACATAAGCTTACATTTGCGCACAAACGCATGCCGTTTGCTCTACAGTTAACTCAGCGGTTCTGCTTTTTTTTTTAATCTCCGTGCTCACATTAACAATTACACAGACGGACACTTCTTCGTCCTAACGATGGATGTAGATAGTGAAGTTCGAGAAGTTCGTTCTGCCGAATGTATGTCATTTTCACAAAACTTGTATACCATTTAAACATATTTTCAACGTGTTCAATGTACAAAATGGGGGAGGTGTCTTCAAATCTTATTGTGTGTAATCGGCCCCCCACACTACAGTGGTTATTAAAATAACAAAGTGTGGAGCATTATCTAGTGGAGCAGATCTAGCTGGAAGAATTTTGCAAGAACGTGCGACTACTTATCCCGGAACCCCCAGAACCCAAAGTGCTTTTATCTGATAGATAGATAAAGCTTGTGGTGCATACAGGGATAGAGAGAAAATGCAGGTTTTACAACAAAGCGAAGAAAAATAATACACGTGTCATTTTATGTTCAGAATCATCAATTTGATAGATGTAGCAAAAAAAAAAAGAATGTGGTCTATCTGTCAATTCAAATTCTGCTTCGAGGTGGCTTCGCTCCGATGTCGACTGACCCCCGACAATTACTAGGTGGCATGGCAACATGATTCGCAGCAGTGGAAGTGCGCACAAGAGGCACTCCAATGGAGGAATTGTATGACCTTTGCTGCGGCACCTGGTTGTCATATGCAGATGTGCGGGTTGTTATGGTAAAGACAATACTTTTCCTTTCATTTAGTAAGCTCTTGAAATCTGCTTTTGGATTTAGCCTTAGGTGGGAAAATCCTTACTAGTCACTAAATAATACATATACATCCAGAGCCAAGTAGCTGGAAATTATATTATATTAGAAACTCTCTTTGAACAGAAATGCTTAGCATAATTAAAAAACCCAACAGTGGCATTATACTTTTAATTGATTTGTTAGGCGATAGGAACTGTAAGTTTATAAAGGAAAGCCTATCACAATAGATACCTTGCCGTGGACGCAGAAAGTTACTATTGTGTGGCATTGAAAAGACGAGTTGTCCACCTTTACTTATGGTCAGTATGCTCCAAAAAAAGATAATGCTACACCCTGGGAGCGTCTGGCATTAAGGCTCAATTATCGCACACGACCAAGTCTAGCTATTCGCAGCACTGTAATATCTCCAAACCAAGGCTAACCTCCCTCAATCACCATTGATTGAGGTCTAGATCAGCATTGTAACGAATATCTTTTAATACTTGAAGCCAAAATGACCGCAGGTCTCCGGCTGGAAATGAAAGTTTCCTACCTTGACTTCTTTTATAGATGCAGGGATAAAAATAAAGACAGCGCCCAACAAAAACCAACCCCTGCGAAAGTAACCAAATTTAAAATTAATACTGGGCTTCTCTAAAGCTCGAACCAAGTGATTGATTGGTGATCCACGCACAGCATAGAAAACGTAAGATAAATCAGGCACCTTTACAGTTACAGAATAAGATTCAAACTCGAAAATTTGGGGAAAAAATTGATAATTTATTTTCAGTTTTTGGAAAATCAATCAATTTTTTTTTTAGTGTACTCTCGATTGAAATTAATTTAGTTATTAAAGATATTCATAATAAAAACAATGAATACACCACAGCGATTTCGCAAAAAAAAAATGGGCGGAAAGTTTTCAAAGCGTATATGGATACGCTCTTAAAAATCGATGTCAGTGTTTATTTAAGACGCCTCTTTTTATACCCTTGCAGAGGGTATTATAATTTTTTCGTGAAATGTGTAACGCATAGAAGGAGACATCTCCGACCCCATAAAGAATATATATATTCTTGATCAGTATCAAAAGCCGAGTCGATATAGCCATGTCCGTCTCTCCGTCTGTCCGTCTGTCTGTTTCTATGCGAACTAGTCTCTCAGTTTTAAAGCTATCTTTATGAAACTTTGCAGAAGTGCCTCTTTCTGTTGAACGCAGTTCATATGTCAAAACCAGCTGGATCGGACCACTATATCATATAGCTGCCATAGGAACGATCGGTCGAAAAGTAGGTTCTTTTATGAAAAACATTTTTGTTTATAAAGATATCTTGACCAAACTCGGCATTTTTTAGTTTTACTATGCACATCATATATATGCAAAATCCTATTAAGATTAGACCACTATATCATATAGCTACCAAACTTGTCATTTATTTGTTTTTCTATGCTCCTTATATATATGCAAAATCCTATTAAGATCGGACCACTATATCATATAGCTGATATAGGAACGATCGGTCGAAACAAAGTTGTTGTATGGAAAACTTTTTGTTTTTCAAGACATTTTAACCATACTCGGTATTAACTATTTTCCCTATGATTCTTAGATACGGGCAAAACACTATGAGCATTATGAAAAGGTTGGGACTGCAAGGGTATTAAATCTTTGGCGTGCCG